GCCATGCCGGGCCGTAAGTCTCATTATGTGTTACACTATGAAGAGTAGGCTTAGAGTTAAAAAAAAAATCGACTAGAAATAGGGTTCAAAGAAGAAAACAAATACTGCTACGCGTGTTTGTATGGTTAGCAATGAGTAATTGCTCGAAGTAATGTAAAATTACGAGTTGTTTGTATCACTAATTTACCAGACAGAGTTGGATTAATTCATATTTCGATTAGGACGAAACTCTGTAAGTTTAAACATACACGTCTTAAAAGAAATAAAGCCAACTTTAACACTACACAATAAATATTTAAAACGAGACTGTCCCCAGTCTCAAAATACAATAAAAATTGTTTTACTTAAGACTTTTACTGCATAGGGTTAAAATAAAATACCACGAGACTGGGAAGTCTCGTGCGCTCTATGTGTTTTGACGTAATACTGCGTCATCATCACGAGTACGATATTTTGCAAGAGTTGAGACCTATATATAATTAAAAAAAAAATTACATGCAGTTCAGTTTAAGGAAATTTACGCCATCTATTAATCTTCCTCTCTAGTCCTTTTTATTTAATACTTTAAAATTATTTTTATTATAATATCTAAATATATTCACGGATATTATTACCATTTGATATTTGTAGGTTGTGCTAAAATAACAGTTTTTTCCCCATTGAATCAAATATTTAGGTTCATTAACCATTAAATCAATTTTATCTTTAGTTATATTAAGAATCTGGCTAACCTTGTTCATTGGTCTATATCGAGGTCACGTGACTGGTGTGGCGCCCTCTATTTTCTAGAACTATCCTGTACTTTGGCGAATGCTCTAGTATTTACTAGATACAGGGTAGTTGGGTATATAAAAGAGGGGACAACGTGAATAATGTAATGTGTGTGTAGACAGTGAGTAATTGATCCGCAGTCAGAAGTATTATTGAGCACGTTCGTTGTTATAGCGTTTGTTTAGCGCGATTGTTGAAGTTGAGTGTATCGTAAAGTTGTATTCGGAAAGAATAAACCAGTTTTATTAAGAAAGGACTTGTGTCGTTAAAGTGTCGTTTAAAGTTAATTAACAAACGGAGACGTAACAATATATATTGGAAATATATTTGGTTTTGTTTTTTTAATTATTGCATTATTTCAAAAAGATAACCTAGTCATAAATATTTACACAAATTTATTTTTAAGCAAATGGTTTTTAACTCATTATTTTTAACCCCGTTTTTTAAATTTCTTGTCAACGATATCAGATTGAAACCTTTAATAATAACTCGTTGTTAATACCATCTGTTCACAGAAATATAAAAAGCATTGATTATTTGTGAAGTAGAGTAGGAGGCACGATTTTTGATGTTTGGTCAACAAGAAGTTTTCTGTAATTAGCAGTTTACGATTTTTTCTTATTTTTGGTAAAACGTCAAAAAAAAAAATGAAAACAGAATTTTCCTCGACTTCGTATGTAAAGTTAATAGATCTTTCAATGTCATTAAAATAATTAGTAAAATCAATTAACTTTTCTTTACCATGCCGCCATATCAGAAACGTGTCATCGATATACCTTAACCAACTTTCTGTTTTTTTTTTCGCTTTTCTTAACGCTTCGGTTTCAAAACTGTCTTATGAATAAAGCTCACGATAATAGAGGTATATTAAAAAAGAAAGAACCAATAGCTAAGCCTTCATTCTATACAGGCCCCATTCTTAATTCGAAATATAGAAAAAAAGAATTTTTAACAGATGTTTCAAGACAATTAATTATATCAGTTACTTCTAAAGCTAAATTCTCATTTTCTTTTAATTTATTCTTAAAACGTGAAATGCCCCCCCCACAGGTAATTTAGTAAACAGTGAAACATCAAAAGACACTAAAATATTCTGACATAGTGGTACATGTTTAGTTCTTTCAAGACATTCTAACGAATTCTCAACCGCCTGTTTATTTTTATCCCAAAATGATAACTTTTTTGTAAAATGAATTTTGCTACATTGTACGTGTAACTCTTAATATTAAATACAGTAGGTCCAAAAACTGTTTCCAATCTCGTGGACTTTAGGTAAAGCATATAACCTAGATAATATACATCTTAATATTAGATACAATAGGTCCAAAACTGTTTCCAATATTGTGGACTTTAGGTAAAGCATATAACGTAGATAATATACATCTTAATATCAGATACAGTAGGTCCAAAAACTTTTTCCAATATTGTGGACTTTAGGTAAAGCATATAACCTAGATAATATATATCTTAATATTAGATACAATAGGTCCAAAACTGTATCCAATCTCGTGGACTTTAGGTAAAGCATATAACCTAGATAATATACATCTTAATATCAGATACAATAGGTCCAAAACTGTTTCCAATATTGTATACTTTAGGTAAAGCATATAACCTAGATAATATATATCTTAATATCAGATACTTAATATACAGTTACTTGGAATTAAACTTCGCTTTTGTTGAGGTTGTACAGTTGTTAATTTTTACTTTTACCATTGTATGGAGTTTATTTATTAGCTTAACTTTGTATGTTTAATAACAATTCTTCAATCATAATATATTCTCTGACCCTTTTACTGGCTTTACAAATAACCGTATCTTTTTCTTTAGCATTTTAAAATTTCGATAACTTTTTGTTATTATCTACAGATTAAAGAAATTCTTAAATACATTACAACATTAATTTCCCAGTTTAAATTTCTGTTCTAATGTCTTGTAACTTTTTTTGGGACCAACTGAGAAATTGAAACATCTAGTTGTTTATCATTCAAAATTAAATCAAATTTATTTATAATTATAGGTTTTTTTGAAACCTGTTTACCTGTCTGATAACGAATCAAGTTTATAGTGTTTTCGGTCCTCTTTCTTTTCCCAATAAAAGTTTTAAATTGTTTGTCCAACGTAATCTTATATCTATGAATTATTTTGTTACAAAGTACTTGAGAATGATCGCACTAGTGATCGAAACGTAGAACCTGTTTTAAAGATATTCTTCCTTACTGTAAAAGCTGTAACTTGTGATAAAATAATACTTAATTTGTAATTAAACTCAGAACGAAACTATTATATCTATCAATGTTCTTATCGAAGAATTTCTTTCCGATTCTCTCTCCAATGTTCCTTCACTTCCTTTTTTAATTATACGTGGTTGATGCACTTCCTTTTTAAGTTATACGTGGTTGATACACTTCCTTTTTAAATTATACGTGGTTGATACACTTCCTTTTTAAATTATACGTGGTTGATACACTTCCTTTTTAAATTATACGTGGTTGATACACTTCCTTTTTAAATTATACGTGGTTGATACACTTCCTTTTATTTTTTTTCTTGGCTGTGAAACTTTGTTGAATTGTAATTTTCTCTTAATTTCATTCGGTTGAAATTCCACTTTCTTACTTATATGTAGAAATTCATTTTTATGAACTTTGGTATTATCTTATTTCTCTTGCATTTCATTAACAAAAATTCCTGAACTAATTCATCACAACACCTGAAAACTCCGACTTCAGTTTTTTGAAAAATTAAATGGTCTTTACTTTTACTCCCGATCAACAATCAAATATCTTTATTTGAATTAGGAATAACACGAATGGATTGAAATATTTAATTAAATTATCTCAAAATAAACCTTCATTTCGGTGAAATATTGAAATTAGCTTGACTTCTTCATAACCTCTGAATAGTGGGTGACCCAAGGGGTCACGGGTGGTCTAGTAGGTCTTAACTCTTCCAAAATATTACACTCCTGATGAGGATGTAGCATGATGTCGAAACATGTAGTGTGTGAAACTGTTTCCAGTATTATAATTCATACTTGTACGGTAAAGTTATTAAGTAAACCAATTAAAGTTGGCTTTATTTCTTTAACACGTGTATGTAAAAACTTACATAAGTGTCGTCCTAATCTTTATACGAATCTAGAAACGGGGTGTGACGAAACGATTTGCAAGACAAAGACTCGGATTGAAAAAATGTTTGCAACAATTATGTTGTTGTGGTCTTTCCTCTTAAACCTTCTACAAATAAGAAACAGTAACACTTTATTTTTTCTTCGAATTACTTACCATAACCAAGGTACATTATTGAGAAATAATTGACAGGGAAATAATATAATAGCCAATGCTCAGCGAGAGGTTTCGTTTATAAAATTTTGTTGTTGAATACATTTTAATGTGAATGACCAATAAAATGATCAGGTATACTTTATATACAACTTTTGTTTATCATCGTATATCTTTCAATGCGAATGACCCATTAAATTATCAGGTATACTTTATACACAATTTATATTTATCAACGAATATCTTTTCATATTTTCATATCTAAAGTAAACATTTATTTATTGATAAGTTTTCTGAACTCATAATCCATTTTGACATCTGTTTTGAAGGTAACAACTGTTGCTAAGTTTTATTTGATTCCAGACACACATTCTCTGTTAGCTGTAATGTTTCATACTGATATACTGTATTATTTTGTTATCTTCATCGCTAAGTTTTTTTGATTCCAGACACACATTCTCTGTTAGCTGTAATGTTTCATACTGATATACTGATTTTTTTTATCTTCAGCGCTAAGCATTCTTTGATTCTAGACACACATTCTTTGTTAGCTATAATGTTTCATAATGATATACTGTATCATTTTTTTATCTTCATCGCTAAGTTTTTTTATTCCAGACACACACATTCTCTGTTAGCTGTAATGTTTCATAATGATATACTGTATCATTTTTTTATCTTCATCGCTAAGTTTTTTTGATTCCAGACACACACATTCTTTGTTAGTTGTAATGTTTCATAATGATGTGATGTATTATTTTGTTATCTTCAGCGCTAAGTTTTCTTTGATTCCCGACACACATTCTTTGTTAGTTGTAATGTTTCATAATGATATACTGTATTATTTTGTTATCTTCAGCGCTAAGTTTTCTTTGGTTCCAGACACACATTCTTTGTTAGCTGTAATGTTTCATACTGATGTGCTGTATTTTTTTTCTTCAGCTTGTATGCATTTTCGCTCAGAAGAAGGTGTCTACGAGTTTGTTTCAGACGGCACCGACACCGTGTGCGCCCTCTACATTATCAGTGATCCCGAATATATAGTGGAATTTGAGTTTTACTCTATTGACGTTAGCTGTCTTAAAGGACTGGTAGCGGTAAGTAAGGAGATCTTACGAAGAAAAATAAATTGTTTTAATACTACTCTGACTTGCATGTAATGAGTCGAAGGGCCTTCAAACTAACAAATTAAACCCTGCATTATTCTATTAATTTTTAAATAATTTACCGAAGAATAGAGAAAAGCCAAGTAACAGCGTTCAACCTGTTGTTTATAAAACATTTGACGAATAGTCTTTCAAGTGAAGATATGTCTTATAAAACAAACGACGTTCTTCAGTTCACAAATGTATCAAGATATTTCCCCCATTCCTCTCAATCCACTTTCCTCCACATTCTTTTCTTGTGTTTTCATCGTTTTTTGGATCCACCTTTATGTAAATTGCACTTAGTACCCTGAGTGACCTCGAGTGTGAGCGTCTTTAAAATGGTTTATGAAAAATCTCATAATCTCAATAAAGTGTACATTTTATTCAAATATGTTACCAAACAGTAACTTTCCTGATACAGTATAGAGTCCAGTAGAAAAAGCTGTGTTGATATGATGCTGGTTTGTTTAAGATTTCTCAGCCAACATCCTGGCTTCTGATTTCATTTACTGTTTTCTATCGTTGACAAACTGCACTTTGTAACTTGTTTTAGGTAATAGACGGGTGGGAACTGAACGGACAGTTTTTCCCCGGGGAACAGGACCACCCAAAGGCCATGAAGTACAGGTTCACTGAGTACTGTGGAAGAAAGAAACTTCTTAAGCCTTTCAGAACGTCACAGAATGTAGGATTGATACAATTCCACGTTCCTCGCCGTGGAGAAGGATACACTGTATCTGTGAGATTTCGTCCCAATAAAAAACGTAAGCTTTGAATCATATTTTTAACGTTTACTCCTCAAGAAATATTAAGAACGAAACGAGATGCATTGCTTCAGGACTTAATACACATTAATAACCTAAACCTATCAAGAGTATAAAGCCGTGTTTCGCACAAACTGTGAAATAAGATAGCTATAAGCTCTGAAATAAAATTATTATCATGCTGCTAAAGTGCTTCAATATATCTCATCGTAGTCCATAAAAACAGAGCTTATATCTATTTTGTACATACTAATAATGTTATGTAAACAAGTTTATAATATTTTGTTTTCAACCGATCTTATTTTTTAACTAATCAGCCGTGAATAAATAGTAAGTTATCCGAGTATCAGAAACTTGAATAATAAAGAATTTATTCTGCAGTTTCAAAATTTATTATTTTCCATTCCTGATATAATTCTGTTGAAATTTAAATGAAATAATATATAGCGTAATTTGCTGTTTAAATCCGCTAAGATAAACCCTATTCCTCGATATCAAAAGGTGTGTTAACCACATAGTTTTTAATGAAACTAATTACAATTTCAACACTGATGTTTGAAAATTGTATTGGGTAATTAAATTTGTGTTTTACTAACTGTCTTTTTTTCCTTTTGTTATAATAATTTCTTGTGATTTCACTGATCTTTCAAGAGCGTGTGGAAATAATTGACTTTATATTGTGATATCAATAATATGAAACAGTGGAATTTAAAACAAATAATGGTGTTTCATCACTATGTGATAATAGAAAAGCACTTGATATTAATATTATTTCGCTGGACACAGTAAATTATCTCAGTATAAAGGTGACTCAATACAACATCATTTTAATATAACAGATAGAAATCAATTCGGTAGACGTGATATTTTTCTATTAGTGTTAATATCAGAACACAAACATACAGTTGAACACGATTCTGAACATGTAACTAACGGGAAAATTGAAAGTTTGTACCATTCCAAATTACAACATACATACATAAACACATCACATTATGTCCCAAATATATATAAACATAACTCAGTTTATCCCATATAATAATACGAAAAATTAAAGGTTGGGGCTATCCCGATTCCAGAACTGTTTATATTATCGATTATTGAGGAATCGAGAGAATGGATATTGCCTATTGAAGAGGAATATCATACGGGGAATTCAGACTGATAAACGATCAATTTATACGGGTGAATTTTATTTCACATTTCAATAACTGATAATGGTGATTAAAATTGCTTTCTTTATAATATTGCATGTTACTCCTATCCGTATTTTCCCACATAAGACACGCCCATGAAATCGAACAACACATTTTCAATAAAAAGATACAAAATCGTGCGAAATGATTACATAAAACTTCATTACTGGTAAACGTTCAGACACCAACATGTGATCAGTTCCCTGATCTTCCGTCAGACAGTAACATGTGATCAGTTCTCTGATCTACCGTCAGACAGTAACATGTGATCAGTTCTCTGAGCTACCTTCAGAAAAAAAATTGATCAGTTCTCTGATCTACCTTCAGACACTAACCTGATCAGTTCTCTGTTCTACCTTCAGACACTAACCTGATCAGTTCCCTGATCTACCTTCAGATACAAACAAGATCAGATCCCTGATCTACCTTCAGAAACTAACATGATCAGTTCCCTAATCTACCTTCAGACTCTAACATGATCAGTTCCCTGATCTACCTTCAGACACTAACATATGATTAGTTCCCTTATTAACCTTCAGACACTAACATGTGATCAGTTACCTGATATAACTTCAGACACAAACATGATCAGTTCCCTCATCTATTTTCAGATAATAATATCTGATCAGTTCCCTGATCTACTTGAGACACATACATGTAATCAGTTCCCTGATTAACCTTCAGACACAAACATGATCAGTTCCTTCATCTACCTTCAGATAGTAACATCTGATCAGTTCCCTGATCTACTTTAGACACATAGATGTAATCAGTTCCCTGATCAACCTTTAGACAATAACATGTGATCAGTTCCCTGATTTACCATCAGACACTAACATGTGATCAGTTCCCTTATCTACCTCCAGACACTAACATGTGATCAGTTCCCTGATCTATCTTCAGAAAACAAATTATCAGTTTCCTGATCTACCTTCAGACACTAACATGATCAGTTCCCTAATCTACCTTCAGACACTAATATGTGATCAGTTCCCTGCGCTACCTTCAGACACTAACATGTGATCAGTTTCAAGATCTAGCTTCATATGCTATCATGATCAGTTCCCTGATCTACCTTTAGACACTAACATGTGATAGGTTCCCTGATTTACCATCAGACACTAATATGTGATCATTTCCCTGATCTACCTTCAGACACTAAAATGATCAGTTCCCTGAGATACCTTTAGGCAATAACATGTGATCAATTCCCTGATATAACTTCAGACTCTATCGTGTGAACAGTTCTCTGTTCTACCATCAGATACTAACATCATTAGTTTCTTGATATAACTTCAGAAACTAACGTGTGATCAGTTCCTTGATTTACCATCAGACACTAATATGTAATCAGTTCCCTGATCTACCTTCAGACACTAAAATGATCAGTTCCTTGAGATACCTTTAGATACTAACATGTTTTTAGTTCTCTGATCAACCTTTAATCAAAAAATTGATCAGTTCCTTGATCTACCTTCAGACACTAACATATGATTAGTTCCTTGCGCTACCTTCAGACACTAACATATGATCAGTTCTCTGATCTACATTCAGATACTAACATCATTAGTTTCTTGATATAAGTTTAGAAACTAACGTGTGATCAGTTCCCTGATCTATCATCAGATACTGACGTGATCAGTTTCCTGATCTACCTTCATACACTAACATATTTTTAGTTCCCTGATCTACCTTCAGACACTAAAATGATCAGTTCCCTGAGATACCTTTAGACACTAACATGTTTTTAGTTCTCTGATCAACCTTTAATCAAAAAATTGATCAGTTCCTTGATCTACCTTTAGACAATAACATGATCAGTTCCCTAGTCTACCTTCAGACACTAACATGATCAGTTCCCTAGTCTACATTAAGATTATAACATGATAAGTTCCCTAATCTACCATCAGACACTAACATGTGATCAGTCTCCTTATCTACCTTAAGACAGTAACATGTGATCCCTGTTCTACCTACAGACAAAAAATTATCAGTTCCCTGATCTACCTTTAGACAAAAAATTATCAGTTCCCTGATCTACCTTTCGACGCTAACATATGATAAGTTCCCTGACCTACCTACAGACACAAAAACATAATCAATTTCTTGATCTACCTTCAGACATCAACATGTGATCAGTTCCTTGATCTACCTTTAAACACTTACATGATCAGTTCCCTTGTCTACCTTCAGACACTAATATGTGATCAGTTTCCTGATCTACCTCCAGACACTGACGTGATCAGTTTCCTGATATAACTTTAGAAACAAACGTGTGATCGGTTCCCGGCTCTTCGTTCAGATAGTAACATCTGATCAGCTCCGTGATCTACCTTCAGACACTAACATGATCAGTTCCCTAATCTACATTCAGACTCTAACACTAAC